AGAGATTTACAAGAAAAGTCGAATTATTTTTAATGGCAAAAATATTTTAAGTTAAAAATATCACTAATAGAGAACGTTGTTGATTCGAAACAATGTGCAGGACAAAAAACCAGTGACGCTCACAGAATTTTTAAAGAAGGGGGGTCCAGGGTGGAAAGTCCACCATTCTCGTATCATGCTCGAATACGTGTCCCAACATATTCTTTTGACATATTCTATTCAGCTACTCGAGACATTTTGGTGACTGAATTTGTAATTTTAAATCGTAGCCCAGAGAAAAGGACGACAAAAAAAAAGGCAATCCTACTTTCTTCTGAGCCCTTTTTTATAAACTATGATTTTTTTTTCAATTCCTACTATTAGTTCACACTCTCACTATATACAATCGGACCTCTATTTAATGAAGTCGCTAAATCCAGGAAAAAAGTTCGTTATATGGAAAATTCATTATGTAGAGGTCCATATTTTAATATACATTATTAACCATATAAAACAAATTTTAAATTTATTCTATATATTAAAAAGAGTAATTATTCACACTTTTTAAAAATTAATATATGTTTATTTTATACACCTTACCCATCAAGAAAGAAAGAAAGAAGAAAAAACTGCACGGAAAACGAGAAAAAAGAATGTCGAATGATTCACTGTATTTTCAATATTAAGGAAATAATTTTATACTAAAATTAAAGAAATTTAAGGACATTTTATAATTTAAAGCATACAAGTAACATTAAACATACTTTATCTTATAATTAGAACACGGGGACACGGGACAATTCCACTGAGGGTGAAAGAGGATATCGAAGATGTTTCTAGTGAACTGGACAATGAGGGTTTAAGGTTGCACTTCTCGGATGAAACGTCCAGAGCTCTATTGCTCTCGGTGAGTTAGGATCTTATAAAACCAGTTCAAGATTTATTGCCACCATAAAATGTGTTAAAGAGAGAATAACTTGAAATTTTTTCAGAAATTCTTTTAAAAAAAGAACAAAAATCGAGTCACAAAAGAAAAAGCTCGTTATATAGAAAAGGCACTTCGCTATAGAGAGGTTAGTTTACGAAGAAAATCGTGAAGTGTTCGAGGTTCCAGGAAAAAGTTCGCTATACAGAAAAATTCGCAATATACTGTATATACATTTTTTCAAATTTCCAATTGTTAATAAAATAGTTTTTATACATCCCTAAAGTTCAAATACATTTTTTAAAACTTGTAGTGGATGACACTTGATGTTAGCACGGTTTTTCCAATATTTAATCATTAATTTAATTTAATGAATTAATTATAGTTTTAGAGATATATTTCAGTCAATCTACTTCCTCTAGATGGCAGCCACATTGGATAAAACAGCTTTTGTTAAATTTGTGATGAAGATTTAACTTAACCTGAATAATCATATACTAGTTAGACATCAGCATTCCTTTTACACTGGTTTTAAGTTAATTTTTTTTCTATAAAATTAGATCTTTTCTGAAGAATGTAATTACAAACTTAATGTGGTTAAAAAAATTTTAATGTTAATTTCAAAGGTGTTTTGCCACTTAATATTGTGATTCTGTCATATGTATATAATTTTTTTTATTAATTGTAATTATTTAATAAAAAATAATTAAAAGTAAAATTTTTTTGTTGGCTAAGTAGGAATTAACTTTAAAAAATGATATTACTTGTTTATCATTTTTTCCTTTTTCATAAATTTTTAAAACTTGAACGAACTATTTTTTTTTTTTTGGCGTACCCGATATTACAGTGCATTTTTTGTAATTGAATTAGTTCAAGTACAATGATGTTCAAAATTAAGGTTACAAGCATAAAAATTAGGTTAACTCAGATAAAAAGAAATATAAGTACATAGGTCACTTCGTACAATAGTAAGATAAAAAATTGTAGGAGTTAAGTATATATACATATATATATATATATATATATGGCAATATGCAAATGCGAGCAACATTGGTCAAAATAGGGATACATCTTGGGCTAAGGCCTTAATATGCTTATATTGGTGTACAATTTATGAAGTACTAGGCGTTACCTGACCATTTCTCTGGGTATTTCATGATGTTGTATGGCTATGCATCGATTTTAAATTATTGATATCCAAGTCTCGGCATTAAGGTATCCGACTATTTGTGACAACTTAAAAAAATGGAGTAAAAAGGCATCATTTATTTAGTGCATTTTAAGAAAAATATGCTAAAATTAAGAGGAAAAGAAATTATTATTGCTAAAATGGGAAAAATTAGTACAAATTGTGATGGGACTTTCATCGCGTTTTCTTTTAACAGTCCTCTTGAGGGTTGCTTGGGGCCAGAATGGCAATTCTTTCCAACCAACTCGAGAAGAAGAAAGTGATTTTTCAAATTAGGTATTATATATATAATAAAATTTTAGCTTGCGCGTGGTGGCTATGTGAAGTCTAAGAATGGAAATGATTAAGATAGTATTTAAAAGAATAACAAGTCCGAGAATTAACCTCCCGTACCTGTATATCCAAGCTAAAGGTAGATACAAAACCACAAGGATTAGAACCGGATAAAAGCACGTCAGTTAGGATAAAGAAAGCAGTTGTTTACCTAGGATATAGCGGTAAGCGACTTTCATTAAGCTATAAGGAAAGCGCGTGTATTAGTGAGATTAGAATTAATCTGTAAAGTTAGATATAGTGGTCAATTACGCGATTATTTGGTAATAGATCTGCTTACTTTGATTATTATTATTGTTGTGCATTGTGATTAAGTTAAGATCTTAAGATCTTAAGATGATAAGATATTAAACATTAAAGATATATTAAGATATTAAACAGATATTAAGATGAACGATTTGCATGATTCTTCGTCCTTCCCTACAGAAACAGGTCGCGTGGATAACGGAGAAGAGGGGCACCCACCCGTGGGTGTCACAAAATTTACAAAAAAAATTACATAAACGGGGACCATACTGAACAAAAAGTTGATTCATTCTTGAAATTCATTTGATATTCAGTTTTGAAACGACCTTCAGGATAAGATATATTTTAATTTTTACAAAAACTAGAGCACTTTATCTTAGATATTATATGAAATTGCTTAAAAAAAAAACAGTGATTATATTCACATAAGGGACTGTAATTTTTGTAATAAAACTGTGATTGATAAATCTGAAGGTTACAACACTTCTACGATTATACAGAACGTACATAGAAAATTTCAGTTAATTATTTTCAAAACTTTTTGAGCAATTGTTGTCTCCGTTTGAACATTTTCAAAAAAAAAAAAACAGTTCGAGTAAAACGCATTTTAAAGTGTCGCATCTGCTTTTACTAAAACACTTGTAGATTTTGTTCTAGTAAATGGAAAATAATAAACTTGGTATTTTTATAGAGTTAACAAAATGTGTTATAAAATAAAATCATAAGAAAACTGGGGTCAATTTTGAGCAAAATTCATGATTTTAGGGTAGTCGGACACCTTAAGCTTTCGATTGTATTGAAAACAATTCTGTTACCCTCGCCTCTTTATTTAAAAGATAAGCAATAGTTCACACTCCACCTGCGTTTCCAAGTTAATTTTACTTATAATATATTGTTACGTTTTTTGGGATTTATGTGTATTTGGATGTACAAAGCATTTATATTACCCTATGTTATATTTACTTTATGTTAAAATTGTAATATCCACAAGCAACGCCGTCCTTTACGTTATAATGGTGATTCAATGAAAACTTGGAGAAATCTTGGCTATAGAGGCAAGTTGGCATAATTTTTGGCGACCATTTTGCCGACATTGGTGACCATGTTGACGAGTTTGGGACTCTCTGGATTCTTCTAGAAGTTTGTGGAGAAATCCACTAATTGTCATCACGTTCGCAACGCAAGTTGATCTTCCTGGAAGTTTCCACGGGGCCTATAAATAGATCTAAGCCCCCCGAAATGGGTCAGTGTTGTTTCAACCAGCGATTATTGAGCATTATTTTGACTAGCGATTAGCTCGGCTATGCTTGGAAATTATCTTTTACGTTCGTGTATTTTAAACACTGATAATTGTGCTTGAGTGCTGTTGAAGTTGTGAAGACCATCTGAGATTTATTCTGTGAATATCGCTGTTGAATGCTGTATTTAAGGGATTGAATTTATGATAATAAATTCTCATCACTCTTAAGGAATTGTCTTGTTATCTGCGACTGATTTGCATAAAACCCTCGAACACCGAAAATAGTAACAATATTTAAGGGGACACAATACGATTTAATTGACAAAAATCGGTCAAGATATAAAATCAAATTTTTTTAACCTAAATTTTTTTAATATCTTTTTCTATAAAACAAAATTTTTAAAATTTAAATTTAAAAAAAAAGAATTACATAATTTTATGTTTGCTTTTATTCACATCCTAATGGCAAATAAAGGCTTTAAATTAATTGATCTCAGAAAATAAAAAATAACTAGTTTATCCTTTCATTTAAAATGCCAAGACTTTTTTTTCTAATATGCCTAACTGTTTGATAGTTTTCCAAACATTGCTATTAATACATGCAGTAAAAGTGATTCGAAGCAATACTATTTCTTAAAAACAGTTGAACTTAGAATGTTTGTATTTTTCAAGGAATTTTCAATAAGCTTTAAAAGAAAACTGTTTTAGGAATATCAATCATCTTATCACATAACCCATACTGACTTTTGTTACACATAGTTTGATGTAATTGTAAATCGGTTTTCATGTCTGTACATCTATTATTGTAGCAGTAGCATTTTATATATAAAATCCCTTCATAAATATTTAAATTCATAAATATTTAAATTTATTTAAGATATTAAATGGTAAGCTATTTATGAAACTTTGAGCACAAAAAACTGTTTTACTTCATTCATATACATAAAGGATAACCAAAACATTTGTGGAACACTTGATGTTAATACATTTTTTCAAATATTAATTCATTAATTAAGTTAAAAAAATGAATAAATAGTAACAAAAATAATAGTCCAACAGCATAAAAAGAAAGAAAAATATTTCATTGTGTCCCTGTAGCACAATGGATAACGGGTTGGACTTCTCTTCCAAAGGTCGTGGTTTCGGATCCCACCTGGGATGGCCTAATTTCCCGAGAGAAGGTGTCTTCTTTTTTACTATACTATTTCATTAGAATAATTAAATTAAATGAATGAATAAAGAGTAGCAAGCGAACAAAAAATAGTCCAACACCCTATATAGAAAGGAAAATGGAATATTGCAAGAAAATCGCTTTCTATTTTGTCACTTAATATTGTGATTCTGTCATATGTATATACATATTTATATCAATAGTAACTATTTAATAGAAAGTCATTGAAATAAAATTTTTCTTTGTTGACCTAAACAGGAATAGACATGCAGTATTTTTTATGTATAACTTGTTATCCTGGAATCCCATAATGAATAAAAAAATCCGAGGAACGTTAAATTTCTTAACTATTACTGATAAAATGTAATAAACTGAATTCGATTAATAAAACTTGAGTACAGCTATATTTAGCCACTATGACCTGTTTTGTTGACCTTAGTACAATCTAAGTCATTATTATCCAGTTAAAACTCATCTCTCTTTAAACTTAATGCAATATAGATGTCCAACTCATAAAAAAAGATTCTTTCCGAGTGCATTTTAACGACGTCAAGCGTCATTTCATCTCTGCAATATATTTTCCCCGAAACAGAAATAAAGTTCATGTCCATATTTATAGCCGGCCTCGTTTCCAAATCAGTCTTCGAAGATTTCAACCTCTAGGAGTTTATTGACAACATCCGATCTATTTCGGGAGTATTTCTGATTTCCCCCCGCAGACGTCATAACGGTCGGTGCAGAGTACTTTACCCAAATAAGTTTCAAAAGATTCCCTAAAATTCGGAAGAAAAAAGTCCCTCAGTTGGAAGAAGATTTCTCTCTACGTGATGTTAATCTGGTTTTAAAAATATTTTCATTGTGTCTAGCGTGAGATTATGAAAATGTCATAAAAAGGACTAAGAAGATTTATTGAATTAGTTATGATGCACAATAAATTGTTCGCACATATGCACACATTAAATTAACAATGTTAACAATTGACATTCTTAACAATGATTATATAAGTATAATATTATTATGATAAAAACTTGCTTTTTTTGTTTTAATAAATGAAAACAAGAGATTTTTTCTTCTCTCTCCCTTCCCCCTGTTTTTCTCCCTTTTTTTCCCCTTTTCTCTCTCGTCCCTCTTTCTCCCTTTTCTTTTTCTCTTTTATTTTTTTTATACCCCCTTTTCTTTTTTTTTCTCCTTTTTTCCCCTCTTTTTTTCTCTTCTCTTTCAACGCCTTTTTCTCTTTTCTCTCCCCATCCCTCTTTCCCCTCTTTTTCTCTTTTCCCCCACTTTTTCTTTCCCCCTTTTTCATCCTCTCTTTTTCTCCTTTTTCTCTCTCATTCCTCTTTCTCCTCTCTTTCTATATCTGATTTTTCACTCTTTCTTTCCTTTTTCTTTCTCATCCCTCTTTCTTTTTCTCCCCTCTCTCCTTTCTTTTTTTTCTCCTCTCCGTTCTCTCTTTATCCTCTCTCTCCGTGAAAATATAATTTTCCCTACTTGGGGTATAAAGTATTTGTTAGGGATGAACCAGAAAGAAAAAAATTTTCAAACAACTTCTTTATCCCCATACAAGTACATTGTTTTCCTTAAATTATTTTATATATAATTCACTTAAACCAGGGGTAGGCTTATAGTGGCCCTTAAAAAAATTTTGAGACCCTCCAAGAAAGTCAAACAGATAAGTAAACAGAAAAGGAAACCAAATCTTAAACCGATCATTCTTTAAATGAGGGCCGAATAATAGGTTTTGAATTCTATTAAAGCAATGCAATCACTAAACAGCATCATATTAAAAAAATATCGAGGTTCAATTCACTTTAGTACTGGAAACATGCGCTTAAGATGACTAACTACTATGACTAAGAACTATGGTTTTTTTAGAAAGGCTATAAATGATTGTTTTGTATTTAGTGTCAGTTGAATTAGAATATGCACATAAAATTGTTTAAGAATATTATGACAAGAAAAATTATTTAAATGTAATTTATTAATTTATTTTGGCAAAAAATATAAGAAGAATGACCTGGTTTCAAAATGTTCTCCTTTCATAGAAAATATTTCTGTGATGATAATAATATTCTGCCTATATAAAGCTAAGACTTCTTTATAGAGCTCGAACTTGTGGATTTTTGAAAAATTCGCATTATTTTCAGAGTTAAGATCCATTGAAATAATAACAAGTGTTTTTTTGTTAAAATTTCACTATCAAATATATTAAAATATAAATAAATCCACTCCTAAATTATGTATTTCAAAAACTTTAATTCAATCCGGGTATTGGTCCTAGCTGTATGTAGGTAAAATATTATTATTAAAGAAGCATTTTTCAAGAAAGGAGGTTTTGAAAACATGTCATTCTAACTAAACTTTTTGCCAAAAAATTGTTTTAAATAATTTTTTCTTGTAACAATGTTCTTCAATTTTATGTATTTGTTTTAATTCAACTCACACTCCATACCAAAAAAAATTATCCATGTATACGCTTTTTCAACATCGGGTTCAAAACGCAGTCACCTTAAATTCAAACCGAAAAATAATATTAAATTGTAACAAGTAATATAAAAAAAAATTTTAAGTCAATTCCTACTTAGATCAACAAAGAAAAATTTTATTTTAGCTATGTTTTATTAAACAGTTACAATTAATATATATATATATATATATATATACATGTGATAGAATCACAACATTACGTGGTAATTAATTTTTATTCATTATCATTAAAGTATCGTATTGTCATCCAAAACAATGGTGTATATAAAATTTCAGTTCAACTCAATGCTTAAAAAGGTGAGAAGAAAATCTTTTCAAGTTTTGACAAAGTCAAAAAGGGGTTTTGTTAAGTCTTTAAAAAATAATACTAACGTGGCTGTATTTGTAATTTTTTTAAAAAATTAGTTTTAATCAATTAATTTTTTTTAAATTAAAATTTAAAATTTTGTATTGTCATCCAAAATAATCATGCATATAAAATTTCAGCTCGAGTGAGCGCTTTAAAATGTATTTTATTAACGATTGAAAATGTCACCAAGATAAATAAATAAATAGAGAGTGTGAGTTAATAGTAGGAGAATTGAACAATGAAATCACTAAACAACATCATTTAGTAAAACTTGGAGGCTCAATTCATTTGAGTTCTTGAAACATTTGCTTAAACAGTTTCTGGGAATAAACGTTTCTCATTTAAAGAAAGGAATGTAACAATTGTAAATTGTAATTAAATAGATTAACTGAGCAGCCTCAAAGAGTGTCATTAAAATGCCACGACATTTGTCAGCTTCTATTACGTAGATGTATGTAGAAAAAGCAATAAATCAAGTTCCTTTTTATGAGCAATTTCCCCGAATCGCAACAATGACGTTACATTCGTCTTTGTTCTGGTTTGCCAACTTGGAACAATGTTTTAAGAGACCGTTCCCCAAACAATAACATTAGCAACCATAGACTTGCAGTCCTGAAAGTGTGGAAGGATTTCTTTTGTTATGGTAGGGAGAGTTATATTTAGGAATAAGAGGAAGATTTAGTTCCCTGGTCATGTTTTCCTCACTTATTTCCTTTACCTTTATTTATACTGAGCAGCAAAGCACATGGGAAAATAGGGTTAACAAATGTTAATAGAAACGTAAGGTTTGAAAAGATGAATGGAACAAAAAAAAGTGGGGCCAGTGAGAAATAGAAGAAAAAACAATAAGTATAAAATGAATTTTAAAAATTCCTGCAAAAGTATATATACCTTACAAATTATTCTGTGGTGAATTTTCAACATGTTGCAAATTTGCGTGAGGGGAAAACAGACGAAGACTCCTATTATTTGAATAATAACAGTTTTATTAATGGAGAAGGACGAACAAATGACTACGCGAAGACAAATCGAAAGAAAATACACAAAGAAATATTAAAGCAGATTATTTGTAGAAACTGAAAACGCATTCGTAAAAACAAGCCAACAGTAGCAACGTGGAAATTTACAGAAGGATCGATTCCAGAGACTTCACGAGGGTTCCTTGGGAACATTATCTGTTGCCAAGACCAATAAATCGTCAATCTGATAACCCTGCTCACATCAAAAAGAGTTGCTAAAATCTTATTAAGTTCAGATTGGGAAGTGAAATTTCTCTTTACGACATACGTGGCGTGTTTCTATGTGGGGAATTTAATATAATATTTCACTCTGGAAATCTTTCTATCTATTGGGCAGCTTTTTCAATAATATTTTCATGTGTTAACCTAATCCTTTCATGAACCTAATTGCAATTCTTTTTAAGTCAGTACTTGAAAAAAGGTATAAGGTACCTGACTTCGTTCGGAACTACGATTTCGAAAAAAATTGTACATAAATGAATAATTCTATTTTTATTATTATTGATATTTAGAGCCGCCTGACTTAGAACTTTGTTTTATTAATTTCATTGCATTAAAAAAAATTACATATTTTTAAACATTTTTCTTTGTGGAAAATGCTTCTATAATAATAATATTTTGCCTATATAGAGTAAAGATTTCTGTAGACCACTGAACTAGGATTTTTGAAATGTATAATTTAAAAGGGGATTTTTTTTTATATTTTAATATATCAGAATAGAGAAATTTTAACTAAAAACACCGGATATTAATTCAATAGATAATATCAAAAAATAATGCGAATTTTTCAAACTTCCTAGTTTAGGCTTTGTGCAGAAGTGTGAGCTATATAATTGCAAAATATTGTTATTATGGAATAATTGTTCAAAGTAATAATATTTTTAATAGCCCTGTATCTCAAATTGATTTCTTATTCACAAAAATATAATTTGTCACGGTATTTTTTGTTTGATTTAATATAATCAGCGACATTCAAATTAAACTTATTTAATGGCTCATGTACTTTCAATTCTTAAATACGCAACATTATAGTTTGAAAAATGTCAATTACGTTTGCGAATATTTTTTTAAATTTTATATTATTATTTTTTTTTTATTTAAATATTTGTCATTCCGTATCGCAAAGGAATTTTTCGTT